ATATATGTAGTCGAAATGTAAAAGAAATTTTAAATTTGGTGCCCTCTTGACCGAGAAAAGACAGAAAATAACTTTGGGGCGCATTTGTATGTAAGACAACAACTCCCACAATGCACCATGTTGCACAGCTCCGCAAGCCACTCCCACTAATCCAGAACAGCGCAAACATCAGAGAAATCGCTCTTCCGTCTACAAGAAGGCTAGCTGCCAAATGAGTTTAAAATTCATTTCACAAATGTCTAGTTAGTTGTGGCGAGCAGGACGAGGGCGAGGGACGTGAGAGGACGACGCGAGTGATAATGAATGGCACCTGTGCAGCGGTCTCATATCTCTCACGGAGGAGCGGAAGCACAAAAGGAACAGGCCTGATTTTATGTTTTGTTTCTGTTGTGTGTGGCCAGCTGGCTTATACTTTTGTTTTGTATTTGTTTATTTTACTATTAAAACGTTTAAATGTTCGCCGGTTCCAGCCTCCTTCTTCCCACAACAACGAACCCCGTTACATTGGCAAACTCATTAGTGAATTACTCGTTTGTATTTCTTTCTATATGGTGAATTATTGCATGATACCTGCATGTTCAGTCAGGCGAAACTAGGATGGTTCACATCACAACACAAACGTCCGTGTGGTCGTCTGATTCAGAGATTTCGTCCAGGAGAAACTGCCTTGTTGAAATTCTCTGCAGCAGACGGACTCTATCTGTGTCCGTAGCGCACAGCGAGAGCACACGCACCAGCAGTCCGCCCAGCTCAAGCCAGCCCGGGCTCCTCGTCCGCGACAGGCAGCCGCCTCCTGTTCCACCATCAGCCTCAGCTGCTCTTCACTATATTGCGGCTCGTAAAGATAGCCACGAACAGCGGATTCGAGCAGCAGAATTTCAAAATCCTCTTCTTCCATATCATGTTTAGTTTCTTCCGTCATTGTCGTAACTTCCTATATCCACAGCGCTTGTTAGCTTAGCTTATAAACAAGATGGCTGATATTGCTTTCAGTATCTGCAAGTGAAGTCCCACCCACTGATCTGTGATAGCTCTGTTAGCGCATTAGGTCCAACCCCCTATGGGCGGGTTTGAAAGGGTGGGAATTTGTGCTTGTAGTCTATACAGAAATCCCCCCTTTTTACACTTCCTCCTACAATGACGTCAAATGACGATTTTTGCGTCATTGTAGGAGGAAGTGAAAAAGGTAAATAGTAGATTTCTCTCGTCTCAGGGGAAAATGAAAGAATGTTGCACGACCATTCAATAGTATGACTGGTTGTCTAACAATGGACCTCTTAATGCAAATGGGTGGAGTGTCCCTTTAAGGCAGGCAACAATCTCGAGATTCAACAGACTTTCGTTAGCCCTCAGGATCAATGCAAATTAGAAAAAGGCTTCAACCATGTCAGCAACTTAAAGATTCAGGCTGGAGGGAGTATTTCGACTCCTTCTACAAATGCCCTACCTCCAATAAAGTAAGCACGTTTGTTATTTTGTCTTGCTTTTTCCACTACCGGCCAAAGTTTGATCCTCCTCTCTTTATCTGCAGGAGATAGGTCCTCAGATATTTTCAGGCCATTTTCCCTGAGAACGGCAGACTCCTTCGCTGCACGCCACACAGCGTCGCGAAAGAAACGCGAGGCAAATTGACAAATAATTCCTCTGGTCTCATTCGGTTCTTTGCGACCAAGCCGGTGCACAGTATCAATAGCGTTCGGAAGTTTATCTTTGTCTTCTGGCATTAGTTGCTGACACAGCTGGATGATCCGTTGCCTAACATCTTCTCTCTCCTTCTCAGGGACCCGTGGATTCTTAAATTCCAGCGTCGCGAACAACTTTCCAGGTGTGCTAGTCTTCTTTCTTGCTCATTAGTAGCCTGATCCACTTTGCCCACCTTGGCCTCCACCACTCCATATTTGAGTTTCAGACTGTTCACTTCTTCGCTCATAAATTCGATGGCTTCCTTGACACTAGTGATTTGCTTGGTGTTTTCGTTTATCACCTCTTTCATATTAGTAATGGCACGTGTATTTTCTCCTATCAATTTTTCCAGGGAGTCAGACCGGCTGTTTATCAATTGCGAGAGTGCTCCGAGTTGAGAGAGGACATCAGCAATGTCAGAACGCTCCGTCTTCCGTTGTTTGGCTGCAGGGGATTTGCAAGGCGTATCTAAAAGTGCAGGAAATTCCTCCTCGCACAACATGAAATCGTCAGAAACTGCATCCAGGTCTGTCTTGACATAGTCATGCCTATTCACTGCACCAGAAACACTGGAAACTTGCTGCGTTTCACTATTGTTAGCAGTAGCAGGATTAGCATTCTTCTGCAAAACATTCGACTTGTTTTTTCTTTTTTCGGACTTGCCCATACTTTCTAGTGGTAACAAATACCAACTAATAGGTGTATAGTGAAGGGAAAATAATAACCTCTTTTTCTGACTGCACTAAAAGTCACTAAAACTATTTGAGTTTGCAGAGCACATCAACTTTCGTCTTCCTAGAGCGCCATCTTGAACCTCTCCTCATCTCACTTTTCTGGAAGCTCTAATCAGAATGACCCGTTACATAAAAAGTGCGCCAACATACACACTGCACTTCCTTACACGGACTTCAAAATAAAAGCATGTGTGGTAAGTGACAGACGCTCTTGTAAAACAAAATAAAAATACAGTGTGAACATTTTGTATTCAGCGAAAAACATTAATAAACCAAAATATAAACAAATAAAGAGTTTTTTTAGCTCATGTTTAATAAGAGTCCCCTTTTTGTGAAAACCTTCAGTTATTCAGGTATCCCATGCCATGACCACACCGCCCTCTATGGCTGGAGGTAAAGGTGACAGCCCATTTCAGAGACAGGGAGATTTAATGGTCCTTTACATGCATAAAGAAGGAAAGAGACCCCCACGTCATGGTATTATTTTTCTTTGAATTAGGAAGTCCAGTAATGTCCAAAGTCTGTAAAGTTTGTCTTTTGGTCGTTCAGATTTTCTCTGCTTCAGAACCAGCTACATGCGTCTGTACACATGGACGAGGCTTTGACAGCTTGGACAGCGATGCTCTACGTCCTTGCAGGCATTCACACAGAAAGGAATCAAACAACATGGCCAGATCCTGGACAGAAAAAAATAAGTGTGTTAAAAAATAAACTTTAGTTTCTCCCGAAATACCTTTGTGGTTAGTAGTCATCATTAATTCAATCAGCAACTAAATAGAGATTTCTTTCTCTCCATGACAGTCTACGCAACTACTACTTTGATGTTTCAAGAAGTTCATAAAGAGATTGTAAAACTAATCCATATGGATTGAGCGATTTAGTCCAAAATGTTCTGAAGAGACACGATCACTTTATATGATGAACATATTGAATTTAGGCTCAGATTTAATTTAAAATATCTTCATTTGTGTTCCGAAAATAAATGAAAGTCTTACAGGTTTGGAACGACATAAAAGTGAGTAATCAATGACAGAATCCTTTTTTTTTGGTGAACTAACCCTTTAAACGGGTAATTCACCGTTGGCAAAATGGGATTTCAATTAAATTTGCCTGCCTATACAGTAGAAAGACGAAAACGTTTTTGCTACCTTGAATAGAGGAAAAAGAGAAAAGGGCCGTTGTCTTCCCTTTTGCCAAATAGGTAGGAAAACTTCAACACCCATAATGCATTGGGCATATAAGCGTCCAAGGCCACTCCCACCAGTCTGCTATGGATACGCCTGACCGGAGTCAAATACAAATACTCGCGTACAGGTAAAAAAAACTGTTGCTATAGTGTTACATTTTTACCATAATGCTGTTTCAAGAGTAGACATAGTCCAATACAATTTTCAGGGATAAACCTACACTGTAAAATCCAACAGCTGTTCAACTCACACTTTTTTAGTTAAAGCAGCACTCAGTAAGAATTCTGTTTTTGTCAAACAGCGACCCCTAGAGTCGCTGTGGAGTACTTGTACTGTTGTGAATAGCACTCACGCAGAGATGGCTCGCACTCACGGCCGGATCCCCTCCCCCTGTACACCGGTACCTGTTCAGTAGGATGGACGCTGTAACGAGTGGAAATAAGGTATGGCCCCTTTAAGGGCTGCGCGCGCCCAACACCACATGTATACGGCGCCGGGTTATTTCTGTTTGATGCTCATTTTATCATAATTTTATCAGATCTGTTTTTTGCCGTAAAGCAATTCGTTACCTCGCGAGACCTGATATCACGCGATACTTCCTAACACTCAGGCCGGCGGCTCGCCGGCCCAAAGTTGCAAGGGTGGTTTTGCGGCTCACAGGCACCAGGGGGGTGCGAGACGACCACCATTCAACACGAAATCAGTAATATAAACATTACAATGACTCCAAAGCTGTTCGGTTAAGGTAAAAAAGTTACTTAGTTCACCTTTAACTTAATTCCGATTCCCGTTGATTCCCATTCACACGGATCCACAAACAACAAAAACGCTGTATTATGTACGCCGGACAAGTAATTGACAATGTCACTTTGTAAAGAAAGACTACTTGGCCACGCACTTTGCATTCAAAGGCGCATACCTATAGACTAAACACGTAACATGCATGTGCATGCCGTCACCCCCTATCACAGATTCACGTTTTGAAGTTTACCCTGAGATGATAACGGTATCGCTTTCAAAACCCGTTTTTAAAAACTTGCACTACTTTCTCAGGCCACCAAAACGCTGTTGTCGTGTAAATGAACCGCCAAAATGTTCAATCAATCAATCAATCAATCAATCAATCAATCAATCAATCAATCAGTCATGCTGTTAAGAAGTACACATATTTTGATGTGTTGACTAACATACATAACATTTATAGGACTTGATTTGTAACTGTAGTGTGTTATTTTATTTGATATTATATTTAAAGTTAATATATTTTAAATGTACTAATTTGCAAATTCATCATTGTAAATGTGTGAATACAAATATATTAAAATACATGATATACAAGTTTCAATATATGTCTGAATCAGATTTCTTTTTTCAAAAGTCTGTACATGTTCCTTACCCTAAAATGCCAAGAGTTCCACAGATGACCCACGCCATCGTCCCATTGATGTATGTCGTCTGTGTGACGATCAGCTGCTGGCAGTAAGGACATTGCATCTGCCCAGGAACTTCAGTCAGACGTGGTGGCATAATTACCACTGTGGCTACATATGCAGAAAAAAAGGTAATACTGATGAAAATCAATAACAATGTGATCATAAACCTCCAGAATAGTATTCTGTACAGGTGCATCATGTGCATGCTGAAAGCGTCTAGTGCTTGAACGTGCTTGAATAAGTCTTGTGAATCTAGAGCTTTTCTGCTCACCCGAGGCAGGCGCAGACTGGACCATCTGAGTGACGGTGGACATGGCGGGCTGTTGGTTGTAAATTACCATTGGAGCTGAAAAAGAAAACAAACAGAACCAGAAATTCCTTCAAACTTGAGATAAGGGAAATATTATCCTGTAAACTTTTGCTTTTCATTTTATAGTCTCATACTAAAGCATCCTGGATGGGAGTTAAACAGAGACTCTCATAACTCCAGACATCGACACTCACCAAAGGCAGGCGTACTTGAAGAATGGATTGTTTGAGTTACGGTGGATGAAGACATGGGCTGTGATGCTGTGAAACCAAACATGAGTTTTATTAGTCAGAACTGACAAGGCCCAAGTTTCCCCAAGATCCAACCTGCATTTGGAGATTCTTCATTGTTTTTTGGGGTCATATCTATGGAAGTTGATTTCCACCACATAAGACAAACCAAAAAAAACATACTTTGGTAAATCATAATGGTCTTAAGCCAATGTTGGTGAAAATTGGACAAACCTTCTAGGATGAGTTCGAAAAGGTAATTTTTTTTATTTTTGAACATTCAAAATTTTCAAGAATTTTAATGACGGAAAATTACGTCATAGGGTGCAAATTTGCACAGGTGGTGGCGCTAGAGGGATTGAGGTAGAGACTCTCAATTTGCTGTGGTGAATGTTCGGACTGCCCACTATCTTTGTGCCAAATTTCAAAACTTTTTACCATACGGTTCTAGCCTGGGAAACCCAGACAACTTCCGGCAAATTTAGATTTGCTCTGAAAGTTAGTCTGGCAAAGAGCTCATTCAAGCCCATTTCCAATCCGTCAAAATCGAGGCACCAATCAGAAACGTTGGGGTGGGCTTTAGATGATGACAGCAGCGCTGGGATTTTGAAGCAGATTTTGTAGCCTACATTACAAAGATGGATGCCGCCGTCGAACATCACTATCAGCTTCAGCTATCGCGTCTGTTTTAAGCAATCTGAACGTTTCCTTTTTGTTAAAAACCGAGCAAAGAACAACACTCGGAGATGTTTCTCCGCCGCTCTGCATACGTCATCTCCTTCATCGCTCTGATTGGGTTTAGGACTATCCGCGACGTCCGTTGGTGACGCCCCTCTGGAAATGATTTGTCTATGACGCTTTGCCAGACCATAACTCAGTTACAACTGAGAATGGTCTGGTTTTAACCAGGCTAATACGGTTCTATAGGCTGCCAAAGACATCAAGAGCGGAAGAACAAGAAAACTATTGGGTTCAATAGATGCTCGGCCCCTATTTATCCGTACATATTTATATCTTAAGTCAAACAACGCAGTTGGACAGAACAAGTCATGTTTTTACAACTTTTCCCTTAATGTTTAGAAGGTGTCGGCAGTGTTTTGGAATGCTGTAGGACTTCTGCATTTTTGATGCTCATTGTGACATACAGAAACGTTCCAGTTTCCTTCTAAACTACAAAGTAAACATCAGTTCTCACCCATGACAGAGGACTGGACCGTTTGGGAGTTCATGACTGACGTCTGTTGGGGCGGTGGATTGTATACAGTGTTCATTTGTACTGCAAAAAAAGATCATTATTGAAGCACTGTAGTTACCAATGACCAATAGTCTCTGAATTGAATATCAGAGTGAGGGTCCGCTGACCTGGTTGGGTTTGATAGGAAACCTGCTGTTGCTGGTAAGGAAAGTTGGTCTGGTCCATTGGCGGTCCAGGATATGGAGGGGGGAACTGTCCTTTATCCATAATCACCAATCTGTGAATGAGAAAAACAAAAAGTGCTTTAATGGTGTGTTGTAAAGGTTTTACATTCAACACTGGCAAAGCAACAATAAAAATAGCAAATAGACTGGATGGACAAATCAGGAAGTAATGAAGTGTTTGGATTGTACAGATTCTTGTGGTTGCATCAATCAGTTGTTCTCAGTGATGAATCACAGAGCATTCATAAGTGAATGAATCAAATATACTTTCGACATACTTCTTGGGTTTATGTAGTCGTGCTATTGAGATGAACAGGAATTGCCATGAACATTTGCCATGCACCTGTGGTTAATGTACCATGTTACAATTAAAGCAGTGATTGGTTGGGCATTCAGATATGCATGTTGCTGCATCTTTGAACAGCAGCACTTACATTTGTTTTTTAATTTTAGTATTTTAATGGACATTAAGTGTCAACTTGATCCGCTAACGCTTCACAATACCTTTTGTCTTCATTTTGAACAATATATCTCTCAAATCATTATTATATAGTATAACTTATTCATTTAAAACCTGAAAAACTATTTTACTGCAAAAAGTGTGCGAGTCTTCTTTCAAATGCAACTTGTTTTGATATTTTGCATCTAATGTCATGACTTTGCTATTCTCTTTTAAGTGTGACTTAAGTGTTCATCATTGTCTAACCGTGTTATCATGGAAACTGATTTCCTGAAAGAAGAGCCCCTGATCAGCTAGTTTGACAACATTTTATCTGTCTGGAGGTCATTTTCAAAATGACAGAAGAGTCAGCGGAATATGTCTTCGGAAAGGTGAATTTAGGTCTGTTTATGCCGTGTCAGAAATGCCCTGATTCCGACTGGTAAAAACATCCTCACAGAACTTGTACACTTTCTGAGAGCGTCCACTCGTACCATGTGACCTCCTGTTTGTACCACCTGATTGCTACATGCTGCGTCCCAATTCGCATACTATCCGTCCTAAATAGTATTAGAAAATAGAATTAGTACGTCCCAAATCGTAGTATGTTGAAAAGAGTGTTCCAAAGAGACACACTCTAACGGCTGATATTGCCCACAACCCGACGAGGATTCTGTTAGAACTACAAACACGAGTGAAAAGTGTTAAGAAACTACAGACATGGAGGACGCGCGAGTCCGGCGGTAGTGTAGAGAGGTTTAGATAAAGGGGTTTGAGTGATTAATTATCAGTACACTGTAAAAAAAATCTGTAGAAATTACAGTATTACTGGCAGCTGCTTGCCAGTAACTTACTGTAGTTTTAAATTGATGTTATTTACTGGCAACAGTTTGTTCAAAGTTAAATGAACATTAAACATTAACAGGTCTTTATCTTTACAGAATAAAACTAAAATAACAGCCTCATGCAAAGCATTCTGGGAACCGAAATCTGAAGGAAAAAAAACAGGTTGATGAAGATTTCTGGTTCCCAGAATGCTTTGCATTAGATTGTTATTTTATAATTTTATTCTGTAAAGACAAAGACTTGTTAATGTTTAATATTCATTTAACTTTGAACAAACTGTTGCCAGTAAATATACATCAATTTAAATCTACAGTAAGTTACTGGCAAACAGCTGCATAACTACAGCAATTTTTTTACAGTGTATCTAACCTGACGAAAATGTATTTATTCAATGTTGTCTACATTTTATTGCATCTGCAGCAGCGTTGTGAACTTTTGTAAAGATACGTTGGTTTAGCCATTAACGTTTAAATTCATCATTACATTCAAATTGCAAAGGAGAATCTCCGCATGAAAGACCCACGACTGGCAGGTGAACGTGCAACATCATTTCTCTCCGAAATGGTAAGAAATTATATTAGATTGAATGGAGGATTTTAACTGTGACGAGATGATTGACAGGGCAGTTTACGTGATAGGATGCACGCGACAGATCTGTCCCTTAAAGATGATGAGGTAGTATGTCCCAAAGCTTGCCTACTCTTTTGCTATACACTCAAAAGTATGTACTTTTTCTTCACAAAAAGTATACTTTTAGGGCGTAGTATAAGTAGGCGAATTGGGACGCAGCCACAGATTCATTTCGTCGTCGACTATGTTGCCATAGAAATGCATAATTCCATGCCCAACCCCGCATTCCAGTTCTCTTACACCATGCCATTTGTAAAGACAAAGTACATACTTTAGAGTGTGTAGCAGAAGAGTAGGCAAGCAGGATATACTACTTTGTCATAATTGCATTGTGTTTACCATGGTAACGGTTATTTAAAAAAAAGTTAATAAGTAAAAAAAAATATATATATATATTTAAAATAAATTCTGTTGTATAAAAAGTGACGATGTGGATGTAGTACATACAACATACTTTTTAACAGTCATAAAGTAAGTCTCAAACCAAACGTGGTACCTTCTATTCAGTATGCCATTTCAGACGCAGTATTTTTATTTGTGCTTATACTAATTCAAATCAGATCCTCGTCCAACGCGCAATGGGTTGTGGGCAATATTATCTGTTATCTGAGTGTGCACAGATCTCCACTTTGAATTTCCACCAAAACTAGTAAACCATCCGGGTACTTTTGGATACTCATTTCACCATACTACGATTTGGGACACACTAATTTTCAATACTATTTAGGACGAATAATATGCGAATTGGAACAAAGCACAAGAATATGAATAATAACAGTAATTATGACATGGTTTAAACACAGCATCTGTGTCAAACATTTCAAATTTGAACATTATCAAAGTGAGAAGGTTTTAACAATCGCAAAGGAAACGAGTACTGACATGCATTAAACACCACAACAAACTAATGGACAGATGGCAATGAATAGAAAGTTGTACTAAGCTAAGGTGACCACTTTAGGCCACTTTTGACATTGACATTTACCTGATCTGTTAAGATCTGTTCAGCCTTCATAATATTAAACTTAAAACACAGGTCAGAATTTGAACATAAGGTTTTATTATTTTATTATATCCCAGGATTTCATATAATAACTTGTATCTGTATCCAAACATCACAAAGTGGCAGTGGAAGCACATAATCCAAAGTAAAGAATATCTAAAACACCCAAACTTATAATATGACACATACCTGCAGTCGGTGGAGAGCTGTGGAGATTCTGGAGCCCTTTCCTATAAAGACACTTGGACAGATAGAGAAACTCTCAGAATAGGCACTGAAATGGCAGAAATAAGGGGTGGGGCTGAAAGCTGATGCTAATGGCCAATCAGAAGTTCTGCACGATATCTAAACTGCTTCCTGATTGAATGATCAGTGGGAAAAATGTTCAAAAAACACTTCAATATCCAGGACTAACGCGTCCTCCAGTGTCCCATCTCATCCCAACCATGACCATAACCAACTTATCCAGTTTTGCTCAATCTCAGACTGTTGACCTTTACATTCTCTTAAATCCTTTACATAAACACATAAAGAGGACTGCGTGCCGTACGTTATACAGATAAACCCCATATTTTTGTTGGAAGAGGTTCAGTTACAACCTGTAATGTGCACAATGTTTGTTTTTCATGTATCCTGGTAACAAATGGACATTCTTGTAATTGGACAGTAAGACTGGACAATGAAACTGGATATACTAATGGATGCGAAGACAACAATGTATTTGCCTTTGTGGGTTTGATGTTTTATTTTACTGTTCTACAGGGCCATTTAATAAAAGCCTCCCATTCTATAAAGCACTCTTCAATTGCATTTCTACAAAATAGAGTTTAACATTATTTTTTTAAGGGAAGTACGATGAGATGTTCCTCCAGCAGTGAGGACATGATGTTGCTACTATTATGCCTTCTAATGTTTAATGAGAAAAGAAGCACACTAAACGCGCAGTCACATTAACCGTTACTCTGCGAAATTTCTCAGGAAGCTGCCTGAATTTGAAAGTGATTTCTGTGTGAGCTGTGCTTCTTACTTTACTGACAATCGAAAATGCCCTCGAAATTTCACCTAAAGTTTCTCTAATGTGATAGCATGCTTTCAAAATGTGGGGGTTTTTTACATTACAAAATGAACAAACTACACAAACTGCTAAAAGTGGACCAAAAATAAGTTCAGCAGTACAAAACCAACAAGAATCAAGAAACTCCACTGCATAATCTATTCATGCCGCAATGCATGCTGGCTACCTTCATAGTACTGTAGAACTACGGTATATTGTATATATTTTACAAGAAATTTCCAAGAGTGCAGTTAGATACATGAGAAGTCCTGTGGAATTACTGTGAAAATCATGCAATTATTAACCTGGAATATACTGTAATTTCACACAAATATTTTTAACAGTGCACAGGAGTTCAAATGTAGGAAACAAAAATGAGACACTAGGAAGCCATTCTGACACTTCTGTGGTAAAACCCGAAAATTATGTTTTGCTAAATGTCAAATAAACTGTTAACGTAACGTTATTTAGTTGCCATCATGTTAGGCAAATGACTGTCGGAGCCCGTCGCGTTTATCATTTTATGCATATCGTCACACATTGAAAGATTAGTTCACACTCGTGGGTTCCCTGATTGTATATGTGTTAGTTATAGTGTCCTTGTTGTAATTGGTTTATTTACTTTTATTTGTCGGTGATGCGGTTTATTTCTTGCCGAGCGCATTTAACCAGTTGTGATTAAGTGCAGTAGGGCTACTAACGTTAGTGTTTTTGGAGCAATTTAATGCCTTCAAACAAAAGCTACCAGAGGAATCGTCAAGAAAAGTAAAGGCCATTTAAAACTTGCTTGATTTAAAAGGCATGAACCCACTAAGCAAAATGATGTCCAAAAGACGTATTTTTAAAGCTTTGTCACAAAAGTCGGACGTTGAAAAGACGTCCACTGAGGAGCCAGAAGGAAAGTTTTTATGACGTCTTTTTTTGACGTGTTCTGCACGTCCGATATAGACGTTCATGGACCCTCTTCGTACAAGTTTAAAAACTAGTTCAAATGTGGTCATTGTGGACATATTTTTTACATCATTTATGGTCTCATTTAGACATAATTACTTTGACTATTGCTGTCAGATGATCTTAGTGAGAATTAGCAGAGGTTTAGATGTTGGTTTCATTTGAAGTGTCACCATTGTGGACATCACCATTGTCACATTTATAAATACAGAAATCTTACGTTTCATTTATGTATGACTGACATGCATCACATTAAGTTTATTATAGTTTTTGAGTGTGACTGTGGATAACAGATAATCCAAAGTAAAGAATATGATCCCCATCTAAATCTTAAATTTCTAAACTCATAATATGACACATACCTGTGTGTTTCTGCAGTCGACGGTGAGCTGTGGAAATTCTGATGCTCTTTCCTATGAAGACACTGGATAGTGATGACTGTGAGAAGAAGCACGGATATGGCCGATTTAAGGGGTGGAGCTGAATTACAGGTATGAAGGCTGATGCTAATGCATTTTCAGAAGTTTCTCATCATATGATGCAAAATAGTTCTGCTTATAGGCTACCTGTCAGCTTATGCATTTTTGCTCAATCTCAGACTGTCAAAATTCATATTCTCTTAAATGCTTGGCATAAACACACTAACAATGTGAACGTGGGTGTATGCAATACAAACCCAATTTTTGTGTTGAATTCAGAAGGTAGAGAGTTTATGATTAATGTATCATGTATAATGCGAAGACAACATTTTTGTTGTCTTTGTGGGTTTGGTGTTTTATTCTGCTATCATAAAGGACCATGATCTGAATATTTACGTCAAACGGCTGCAATGATGTTTCTATAGAGTATAATAAATCTTTTTGTCAGTGAAGCACAATAATTGAGCGCAGATTGAGCAACCATTGAGATGTTCCTCCAGGCAGTGAGGACAGGTAATGTTGCTGGTTAGAAGCTAGTATGCCATCTAATGTTTAAGCAAGGAAGCACATTAAAACAAAATCTTTGTTTTGGGGTTTAAGCAGTGTTCTGAAAATCTGAAAGTAAATTACTCTTAAATTTGAAAATGATGCCTTGCAAATGACAAGCCACAGATGGCCCAGGTTAGCAGGCCATTGATGTACAGTATTTGGTCTCTGTGATATTGTGCTGCTCAGTGAGGACATTTCATCTGTCCCGGGACATCGGATAGACTCAGTGGCAGCATCACCACCTGCGTCATTGCACAGATAATTTAAATAAAAAAATAATAACATATTAAGCACTCATAGGCACATAAACTGTAACTGTCCTGCCCGTCCCCCCCCCCACTTTGTTTAAGCTTTTCAGATCTGACAGTCGGTTTCAAGTTCTTAAAAAAACAATTGAATAAAAAAAAATGAGCATGAGGCATCAAATAAAACATTACATCTCTGTTGATTCTCAGAGACTTGTTTGGGTCATGTCCAAGAGAGGCGTACATGACATCTCTCTAAAGAGTTTGTGCCTGATCGATAAGCCAAAGGTACTACAGGCCTTTCATTTTTTCTCTATTATTTTGAATATATAGTATGACTATAAAGTTAGAATATAAAGTTTGGCTTTTCTTTCTGTCATGCATCTATAAAAAAGCTCTCATTGAGAATTAACAGAGGTTTAGCTGTAGATAATGTTGATGTTTTATTGAAAATATTTCATTTGAAGTCACTATGGTTAGTTAGTTAGTTTTAGTTAGTTATTTATTTATTTTCTTCGGTCATTTTAAACAATTAAATCTTAGGTCATATGTAATTCAAAAATCCTGTACATAATACAATGAAGAAAAAAAAACATAAAACAATGAAACAAATAGAGAAAGAAAAGAAAATTTAAATACATTAGAAAGATAAATACAAAATGAGTACCTAGGAATTTAAATGCTAAATAATACCTGACCGAAGGGGTTTAGGCTGAAGTTTAGGCCGAAGGGTTTAGGCCAACCCCTTTTACAACAAAAACAATATCCAAAGATGACACAATTTTATGGTTTCTCTCATACCAAAAATGATAACATGTAAGCACAGAACTTAAACTTCAACAATCAAAATTATATTATGCATCCACTTTCGCTTACTTTTCTAATGTTCTTCATTCAAGTGTTCTATACTTTTCCATAATGTTTAACTTATATCTTTTCTTAAATGCATTAATAGTTTTAGAGCTCTTAAGTGAAATTAGAAGACTGTTCCATAAATTAACTCTTTTAACTGATAAACACCTTCTCTTAGTATTACTCTTCGCCATGGGTTTTTGTAACAAATCAATTCCTCTGAGGCTATATCTAGATTCTCTGATTCGAAACATCTCTTGTAAACAGTGAGGAAGCATGAAATTGTGAGCCTTGTACTTCACAACTGCTGTGTAAACATCAACAAGATCATGAAATTTTAATATATTTAATCTAATAAAAAGTGGGTTTGTTGGGGCAAAATATTCAGCATAGCTAATCACTCTAATTGCTTTCTTCTGTAATAAAAAAAATAGGCTGTATATTAGTTTTATAGGTATTCCCCCATATTTCCACACAATACCTAAGGTATGGAAAGACGAGGGAATTATACAATATATACAATGCGTTTTGATTCAAGTTTTTATTTTACACAGTATGGCAATAAGTTTTGAAATTTTAGTCTTTAGTATATTTATATGCACCTTCCAATTTAACTTATCATCAATATTAATTCCCAAAAACTTTATTACATACACCCTTTCAATTTCTACCTCCCCAATTTTGAGTCGACATAGTTTGTTTACTACCTTGTTTCCAAATACAATATATTTAGTTTTTTGCAGATTTATGGAAAGTTTATTTACTTCAAACCATTTTTTGAGTCTCTTAAGTTCGGTTTCTACTGAATTCAAAAGCAGCTCAAGATCTTTTCCCGAAACGTACAAACTAGTATCATCAGCAAATAGGATACATTGCAATTTATTAAGGACTTCACAAATGTCATTAATGTACATAATAAATAGTTTAGGTCCCAGAACGGAGCCCTGAGGAACACCGTGGGTTATTTTTGCCTCCATTGAACGGATACCATTAATATGTACATACTGATTTCGGTCACTTAGATAGCTTTTTAGCCAAGTATGTGCTACGCCCCTGACACCATACCTTTCTAATTTATTTAAAAGCAATGAATGGTCTATGGTGTCAAAGGCCTTGCTAAGATCAATAAAGACACCAACAGCATACTCACTGTTCTCAATAGATGTTGATATCTGTTCTACTAGTTCAGTAACTGCCATTGAAGTGGACCTGTTGGGTCTAAAACCGTACTGATGCTCACTTAACAGATTATGCTTGCCTATAAAGCCATCAAGTCGTTTCACAAATAGTTTTTTCAATATTTTGAAAACTGCGAGAGTATTGAGATCGGTCTATAATTGGTAAACTGTTGCTTTTCTCCATTTTTAAAAATAGGTATTACTTTGGCAGTTTTCATTTTACTCGGAAAGATACCCATTAAAAAAGACTGATTACATATATACGTTAACGGAGTAACAATACAATCAATGATATCTTTCACGAGGACCATATCAATGTCAAATCCATCTGTTGTTCTCTTGGTCTTGAAGGAATGTACAATTTCCATGATTTCTCTCTCACTAACACTTTCAATGAAAAGTGAGTTTAAATTATTTTTAATGTTAATTTCTTCAAATTCTTTTACATTATTTGATTGCACAATTCCATTAGATAACTTAGGCCCAACACCGACAAAAAAACTATTAAATGCATTTGCAATTTCCTTTTTTTCACTGATGATTGAGTTATTCACTGTGAAGTAATTTGGATATTCTTCCTTTTTTTCCCATTCCTGATAATACCATTCAAAACCCTCCAAGTACCCTGGATATCATTCTTGTTCTGCTCCAGCAAATTGCAGTGGTATACTTTTTTAGTAAATCTTATTATTTGAATTAACTTATTTTTATACATTTTATACCTTTCTTCATTTCGTTTAGTCCTTTGCTTTAAATAGACTCTATAGAGTTGTTGTTTTCTTTTACAAGCCTTAATTATGCCCTTGGTAAGCCATGGCTTTTCCTGGCTATTTTTGTTTTTAATATAATATTTCTTACGCGGACAGTGCTGGTCATACAATTGGATTAGGGTAAGTAGGAAGGCATTGTATGCCCTATCAGGGTCAGGAGTTGTATACACTTCTTCCCAAGTTTGGGAACATAAATCATCCCTGAGAGCAGCAATAGCTTCAGGAGTTCTCTGTCTTACGAATTTAAAATCATTTGTTTTGGTTGTATTATTTCGTAATTGTTTGAAAATACTAAAAATAGGAAAATGATCAGTGATGTCATTGATAAGTACTCCAGCGGTTATTTGACTTGCTAATTGATTAGTAAAAATATTATCTATTAATGTTGATGTATCCGTGGTAATTCTGGTTGGCGTAACAATAAGAGGAAATAGAGTGTTGCTATACATAGTATTAATGAAGTCTGTTGTTTTGACATTTTTCTGAGGGTTCAGAAGATCAATATTAAAGTCCCCACACACAATATGGACCTTGTTTAGATTACTAAAAAGACTGTCCATTTTATTATTGAAGATGTCTAGACTTGATCCCGGTGTTCTGTCCACACAACTAACAACAATATTTTTAGATTTTTCTAAAATAATTTCACATGTTATACACTCCAAAACATCATCAATGGTGGTTGACTCACCTTTAATCCTCTTAAACCCCAGATCTGTATCTATGTATAGTGCAACACCCCCACCTCTTTTATTTATCCGATTGGTAGTGAACAAATCATATCCATCTAATTCTACTTCACAGCACCTGTCTGCATCCAACCAAGTCTCAGAAACAGCAATGGCACTGAATTTATTAAACTGACTAAGATATTGTTTAATGTCGTTATAATTTTTGTTCAGACTCCTACTATTGAAATGTATAATACTAAAGGCACCATTCATGCATTTAAACTGCTCGTCAGTATAGTAATCACAATCATTAATTATATTATTAAACAAATGCTCATCCGGATCTATGTCACAGCCAAACTCATTTGTTCTATAATTTATATCATCGTACAGAATATTGTCTTCACTACCGTTTATAGATTCTACATCATTAATATCCACATCACTCAATTCATCCTCATTGTTATACATTTGTTTTTTAGTTTTGTCATACCTACACCTTGCCACCAAACATACATAACATTTGACAACCCAACCCCAAGACCCTTCACACTCTTGGAGCACACATTTATGCACACATACGCAGGACACACACACAAACAGCGTACAGATCCAGATTTATGACCGGGCAACACACCAATAATTACACACGAGCGCACACACAACACACAATAAGATGCACACATAAAACTACAGACCATTTGGAGATGTCTCTTACACTTTCCAGTCCGCCCGAATACAAAGCCCAAAGTCTGAGTATTCGAAATATTGAGATCCACTTGTCGACTCCACTGAATACCTAAAATTGTGAATACTGAATACTGGTGATTAGTGTTTGTTTTAGTTGGTCTATTGACCCTTGAGTTTTTAAATAATTTTTTAACATTTGCAATAGTGTTTCACAAAATGCCTTGTGCTTTTTTTATCTCTCTTTTTTTAGCAAAACACACAAGCTGAAGTTGCCTACTTGTATGACATTTAAATGAATGTCACACAGTGAGGTTTTTTTTTTTAAGTTTTTAAAGTTTATTGATTTATTGAGGTATTACCGAACTGTAAAATTTGTGCTATTAAACAGAAGCCGCTTTTGTGATTGAACACTGTAATACATTAACACTGAAATTAAACAAACATCATCGCTGAGACACTTCAACAACAAACCTCAACAATGGTGACAATCATCAAAATATTCAGAAACAGATCAAGTTTCATCATCATCTTCAGTTGATTTCATCTAAGGCTGTGGCTGGAAATCAGTTGCAGTTCTTGTTTCTGCTTGTCTCTTCTATTTTTTCTGTTCTTGTTCTGCTTTACTTCAGTGATTCTGCTTGTTAACAACAGGTGTTCATAACTAATGATTAATCATCACTCAATTCATCATCTGATTATATCATTGACGGCAACTCTGCTTCAGTGTGTCTTTAACACTTTGTATAGTAGGACAAACTGTACTGAGCAGTGCTGATTTAACTCTAAGGATATGTTTCAGTTGTTGTGGGCAAATACCTGGAGCTTCAGGTGTGTGTTTGTAAAACAAGTGATTTTTCACTGCAAATAGAGCTAAAATAGAACTTATTTTATTCATGCACATATATATACACATATTATAAAAACATTAATTTGCAAAAACAGGCCCAATGGGAAGTTTGCTAATTCCCTCCAGAGACAGTGTAATTCAATCATTAGATATTTCTGTCATAACTTTTGATTTACACATCTGTGAGATTGTAATTAATAATGCATCTGTTCTACAGGATTTCACAATGTTAAACTCCCATGTGAAGCATACAAATGACACAGCTTCGATCACTCATTAAATTCGTTTGTAAATGCAAATGATGTTTTTGCAGTTTGGACAGGTGTGTTTCACATCCTTGCACGAGTCCATACAGAAGGGAATGCAACAACAGAGCCAGCACCTGAAAAACACAACAGACAATCTCTAAATCCGCAGTCTGTAAATTCAAGCAGGGTAAACGCTCTAAAGCTTGTACAGTTAGCATACTCACAGAAAGAACCCAAGAACTCCGCAGATTAACCAGGTGATCAACCCATTTAAATATTCGATTTCCGTGAGGACCTCCGTCATGCAGTGAGGGCAGATAATACGGCTCGGGACATCAGTGAGACTCACAACCGGCGCCTGCGTTACTGCACATGTACAAATGCATCAAATGCGGAACAAATATAAAATATTGCATATACAGTATATACAGTATATAGACAATATCAGCATAAATCTTATTTTTCAGAGTAAATCCATTAAAGTAACTTCTTTTTGGTTACATAAGTATATACACATCACAATCACACATGTCCTTTCTGCTGTGATGCCTGATTAGTGGAATTTATTAGTGGAGTATAAGTTTCAATAGTACTCAAGTAAAGTACAAATTCTTCAAAGTAATAATAAAGTACTTCACACCCCTAAACACTTGATGACAAAACATGCAAAGTTCAGGGAATGAAGTAGAATTAAGTAAATGGCGGCTTTCTGATTCAGAGGAAATCTTATGTGAAAATGTTTGCAGGCATTATCAGTTCCCTCCAATTGATATGGTTTATCCTCGTCATGCTACTACATTCTAGTGTTTGCCACTCATGAAATGAATAAAACATGAGAAATGATGGGTCTTGGGTTCTGAACACTCACCGACAGGGACCATCACAGGCTGGAAGTTGGTGGGTGGAGCCCCGAACCCGTATGGAGGTGGTTGGTAAGGTGCAGCGTGTGGACCTGTAAAAGGGTCAAAACACCAGTTAGAAACACTGAAACCCTCTGCACTGGAGATTTATAGGATGTGAGATCATCCGCTTTATTTAAAACCCAGACAGCAATCCGTGCCGGCACAGATCCGGCCCACATCAGATACGTGTGGATTCCATGTCTACCAGATGTGGGCCGGATCTGGGCCAACTATCTCAAATGATCCAATTAAACAAGTATATAAATATAAATATAAATAACTATATATATTATATACTATATAAATGCTTCATTCATTCATTCATTCATTCATTCATTCAAGTGACCACATCAAAGAAAACACTAGCCACGTTAACATGCACCCAAATAATCTGTTAGTAATTGGATTGATGGCTCAATCAGAATGAAAAGCCTTCATGAAAACACCTCAATCGACTCAACTGAGCTCGACCTGAGTGAAATTGTGATTAAAAGGGGTAGACCTGAAATAATCAGATTAAGAGGAAAAAATAAGCATGTAAACACTTGAGTATGAGTATCTTCTCGATCAGATTTTAAAAATACCTTGTGCGGTGATATTTAAATGTTTACTGAAGCCCTTTTATAACAAAAATGTCAGTCGTATTGCAGAGTTTAGGTAGCCTGGGAAAACCCAGACAACTTCCGGCAAATTTAGATTTGCTCTGAAAGTTAGTCTGGCAAAGAGCTCATTCAAGCCCATTTCCAATCCGTCGAAATCGCGGCACCAATCAGAAACGTTGGGGCGGGCTTTACACGATGAGGACAGCGCTGGGATTTTGAAGCAGATTTTGTAGCCTACATTACAAAGATGGATGCCGCCGTCAAACATCACTCGTTCGAATCAGCTATCGCGTCTGTTTTAAGCGATTTGAACGTTTCCTTTTAGTTAAAAACCGAGCAAAGAACAACACTCGGAGATGTTTCTCCGCCGCTCTGCATACGTCATCTCCTTCATCGCTCTGACTGGGTTTAGGTCTATCCGCGACGTCCGTTGGTGACGCCCCTCTGGAAATGATTTGTCTATGACGCTTTGCCAGACCATAACTCCGTTACAACTGAGAATGGTCTGGTTTTAACCAGGCTAGAGTTTAGGATAAACTTTCACAATTTGAAATCGGTTTGCCAAAATGAGTGCATGTAAAATACCTAGTGTATTTCCAATTAAGAGCCCAGGCTTGTGCTTTCTCTAGCATCACTTAACAACCAAACTCTTCTGGTTTTAGTTGTCACACATGTCATCTGAAAGGAATTTTGGCCCTTATTTTTAAAATAAGGCTCTTCGCAAACCACTTAAAGGGATAGTTAACCCAAAAATGAAACTTCTGTCATAATTTACTCACCCTCAAGTTGTTTCAAACCTGTATGAATTTCTTTCTTCTGCTGAACACAAAAGAAGATATTTTGAGGAATATGGGTAACCAGACAGGCCCAAGCACCCATTGACTCCCATAGTAGGAAAAAAAAAATACTATGGAAGTCAATGGGGCCCATCAACTGTTTGGTTACAGACATTCTTCAAAATATAATCTTTTGTGTTCAACAGAAAAAAGAAATTCATACAGGTTTGAAACAACTTGAGGGTGAGTAAATGATGACAGAAGTTTCATTTTTGGGTGAACTATCCCTTTAAAGAGCGGTTGAAGGTTAGTCCCATTTAAAACAATACTTGGGTTTCAATTGTTTCAGTTGTTGATTTCTTTGTTTCCAGGATCAATAACATGCTTTATTACCCAGTCTTGGATGTACACGCATTACTGGGAAAAAACCCGAAATTCAATGTTCTGTGAGTGTGAGATGGACACGTCCTGACACCCAGTGTTTCTGTTTTTGGAGAACATAGCAATTATCCTCCTCCTAACCATTTTTATTTTATTTTTGATCTTTTACAGGCTTTCACAGTCAGAGATGTTCCCACCCACTACAACAGTATCCATCCGTTAGTAATCTAATCTACCAGGCCATTACTTAGAGGTCAACATCTTGTAAAAGTTTCATTCATGTTTCTTGAGGTCTTCTGTAAAAGCACAAACTATACACTGTAAAAAATTGCTGTAGTTATGCAGCTGTTTGCCAGTAACTTACTGTAGATTTAAATTGATGTATATTTACTTGCAACAGTTTGTTCAAAGTTAAATGAACATTAAACATTAACAAGTCTTTGTCTTTACAGAATAAAATTATAAAATTACAATCTAATGCAAAGCATTCTGGGAACCAGAAATCTTCATCAACCTTTTTCTGTTTTTTTTCCTTCAGATTTTGGTTCCCAGAATGCTTTGCATGAGGCTGTTATTTTAGTTTTATTCTGTAAAGATAAAGACTTGTTAATGTTTAATGTTCATTTAACTTTGAACAAACTGTTGCCAGTAAATAACATCAATTTAAAACTACAGTAAGTTACTGGCAAGCAGCTGCCAGTAATACTGTAATTTCTACAGATTTTTTTTACAGTGTATCACCACCCAAAGTCTGTTTGTTGAACAGGTAACGTCCTTAAACACACATCTGACGTCATTGAGTGGACCTTTGCACAGTGCATGACTTCCTGATTACCCGTCCATGAAACACATCTCGATGGCGCACTTTCTTCAACAAAAGATGAATAAGTACTGTAAAAATGTATTGCGCATTGTTTGTTAGTTGCATTAACCAAAATAGCTAATGCACCCTTATTGTAAAGCGTTATGGCTCTGGTCTGTAATCCTCTTGTTTGCTCTTGTTAGTGAAGATGGTCTGACCTGTTTGAGGAGGGTAGTGCGCCTGCGGTCCGGGGTAGTTCACGCCCGTCTGGGTCGGCTGAGGACCGTAGTAAGGAGGGGGGGTGTATTCCTTCTCCATTATCAAAGACCTGGGAATGAGAATACATGAAGATATGAGGAATCGCAAACATTTCTTTATCTTTGTGACATTCTAATCTTGTTCTACTAATTTCCCTATTAATTTGGTAAAAACCACACACTATGCAAAGCTGAATAACATCCCCTTATGCACTAGACATTTAACAAAAGCATAATGATGTACGCTCGTACCTGTATGCAGTGTGAAACCGTGCGGTTGTGTCGCTTCCTCTTTTCGAGAACGTACAGCAGAATATGGATGACTATGAGTGAGAGAGCGAGGGTGCGGTTCATGACAACAGCAGATTACAGTCATAAATGTGCACTGTGTAGGCAGGGCTATCTTTGGCCCACTAAATGATGGTCAACCTCCAGATTTCCCATGACAATTAAGGAAGAGAAAGCAACATTATCAGATTAGCCAAATTATTTTTCTACTTGTTTGCACATGTTGTTAATGTTAAAGCAAATGTTGGCAGGTCAGCAGGCAGACTTGGGATTTAAATGATACAATGAACATATTAAACTGTGTCACAGTTTAAGCAATGTTACATTATATGTTGTATAGGGGAAAATAACAGGAATGAATGGAATATATTACGGTTGGTTGTTAAAAATGTAAAGAATATTTACATTTTTATATTTCTAAAACTTTATACTTTCTCTTTTATTATGTTAATTGTATGTATTACAATTTCGAGTTCCTTGCTTTCAATTCTTTTTGGTGATGTGCACATTGTAAATGCACCCTTATATTTCACTCTGTCAGCTTGTAGTCATTGCTCATTAAACTTTAATGTGATTGCCCATTGTGGGAAGATTTTCCATTAACTCACTGAAACAGATGTGTGCTGTTGTAATCTGATTCATATCACCTCAATTTGAGTGCAACATTTCCAGAGAGAGAGAGAGAGAGAGAGAGAGAGAGAGAGAGAGAGAGAGAGAGAGAGAGAGAGAGAGAGAGAGAGAGAGAGAGAGAGAGAGAGAGAGAGAGAGAGAGAGAGAGTGAGTGTGTGTGTGTGTGTGTGTGTGTGTGTGTGTGTGTGTGTGTGTGTGTGTGTGTGTGTGTGTGTGTGTGTGTGTGTGTGTGTGTGTGTGTGTGTGTGTGTGTGTGTGTGTGTGAGAAAAACGCGTCCATAGAGACCGGCGGTATCCAGGCTACGGAATACAAACATTCGGCGACTTCGACCGCTACCGGAACAGATCTCTTTAACAAAACGATTTTAAATACAGGTTAATAAGTACTTTTTAATTTACACCAATTATGATGTCATCCCAAGTTTTAGTGTCACGACCCCATTTTGACACGCGGGTAGTGGCACGGAATGGCTCACAGCCGCCGGTCACAAACCCGGAGACCACCGTTAAGGAAAACGTTTACGCGGGTACATCCGCCGGTCTGGCCACCGCGGGCTACCGGAGCGCCAAATACACCCCCGAAGAGTGGATCACCAATAACTCTGCTCTCTTAAACCGGGCCGTCGTGGACCGGAACCGCGCGGAGAATATTTGCCACGAGTCCAAAGCGCTGAAAGCGGAGACCGACGCCGGGACTTTACGCACGCAGACCGAGGGCACCAAACACCTGGGCGAGCGGCTGCAGGACATCCACCGCTGGAGATCCGAGTTGGCGCGGTTTATCGAGCGGCTGAACGCAGAAACACACCTGCTGGTTGGCTCGAGGAGGCGGCTGGAAAAAGCGCTGGACGCCACGGAGATCCCCTTCGCCATCGCCACTGATAACCTGACCTGCCGAGAGAGACGCTTCGGTCCGGATCTGGTGGAGGACCCGGTGCAAGAGGAACTTCTAAAGGCATGAAAAACATAAAAATAATCGATTTTTGTTAACTCGTATGGAAATTTGTCTTTGGCTCCCCACAAAGTGGAAATATATGATCTATTTTTTTCTTTTCTTTGTTCAAGAGAATAATAATAATACATAAAACAATAAATACACTATTAGTAGTTCCCATGCAGCGAACAATTTTTGGTTCCCAGGCGTTCTTGGTGGGCCGTTAGTTTTGGGTTCTCTGAACGTACTGGGAAGGGAACGTTTCCAAAACATGTTATTTGTAACGTTTGTTTTTGGTTAGCTAGGAAAGTTCTCATTGCGGAAATAGAACAGGTTTTTTTTTTTTTTTTTTTTTTTTTTTTTTTGCAAAAGGTTCTCTTATGGAACAAACCGTTATACGGAAGATTAAAAGATTGATTCCATTATTTGTAAGATTTCGTCATTTGTAAAACTCAAATTAATATCAAATGTTTTGCTTATCCAAAATATACGTGAAAAATTACACATTTCAGCATAACATTATACAAAATAAAACCTAAAAATAACCTGCATGGGACGTTCTGGGAGTTAGGTTGCTAAAAAGAACAGAAGACCAATATGTGAACAACAGATCTTAAAACAGTTCATTGAATGATTTCCATCAGGAGGTGGAGCTGATCAGAAGCATCCAGGCCTTGCTGAAAAAAACTCTGGATCAAACTCTCAACCAGATCAGGCCAGTTATCTAAATTATGAACCTCTCTTTAATATATTCTGTCATCAGAAATTGAAATATTTTTCATCATTTACTTTCTTAGAGACTACAGCACATTCAGTAACTGAGATGGGTTTTATTCAGATTGCAGATTACACTCTAAAAAATGCTGGGTTGTTTTAACCCAATTAAATATAGACCAAATTGGGTGAAATATGGACCAAACGTTGGGTTAAATTGTTATCTTTGTCCATATTTCACCCCAAAATTGGGTTGAAACAACCCAACATTTTTTAGAATGTAAAGTCATAAAACTGTTTGTGTGTGCCAGGCTGAACCGGGAGGTGACGCAGACTCTCGAGTTCGACTGGTCTGATAAACAGCAGGCCTACAACTTGGATGACCAGTGTGGACGTTATAACAACAGGAGCATGGACACACAACAGCATCCCAGCTCAGCAGTGCTGCAGGATCAGTGTGTGCCACAACTCACAAACACAAACAGTGCTTTCATTTCACACACACCTTGCACAATACATTTCAGCATATCAAAGGTGCCGTTTAGCTTAACCAGATCATTATGAACAGTTTTTGTCTGTATTGGATTCTCGATAATGCATAATGACGGGTTCACCGGTGACGGCACTCTCCGGTGTGTTTCTCGGTAGGGTGTGTGATGAGGAGGTGTGGCGTAAGTTTACTGTGGATAACCTGCGGCTGGCGGAGAGAGAGGAGACGGCGAGCCAGGCCCTGAGAAGGCTGTCTGAGCGAGTGTTGCAGGAGACGACTGAGGATCTGCGGGCGCAGTGTGTTACTGTAGATCAGGCATTCATCCAGCGCTGCATGGAGCTGAGCCAGTCCAAAACACAGCTGGAGCTGCACCTGGGACAGGCAATACACACCTATACAAAGCAAAACTCTATATACACTGTAAAAAAAAAAAAAAAACGGCAGCTGTGGTTGCCAGAACTTTACAGTAAAAAACTTAGAGGCATTTTACGTTTTAACGGAACGCATATTTCAAAGAATAACTGGTTGTAGAAGTGTTTTTCGGAGAAACAAGTATGTGAACAGCATGTTTCCTAAATATCTGTAAACATATTTTTATCCTTTAGTACAGCCAAAAAATGACATACAGCACTTTATACTCAAATAATACAATACACATTTATTTATTTAATAGCATAAGATATAGCATAAAACCCTAAACTACATAACTGATAAGAAAATACATTTTAGATAATTGTTTACAGTGTATGATAGAACCTATATAATCTTCACATTTCATACTTTATACAAATAAACATGAAATGACTCTCTATGGTTGTTTACTGTGTGCGTGTAATAGATTCTGGATCAGATCGGGGCTCAGGAGAAGAATATATCATACTTGCAGCAAGCTGTGTATGACAAAGAAGCTCCACTCAGAGTGGCTCAATCCAGGCTGCATAACCGGACCTTCAGACCCAACATTGAGCTGTGCCGAGACCAGCCGCAACTCAGGTACAGTACATGCACTCACTCACTCACTCACTCACTCACTCATTTACACACTCACTGACTCATTTACTCACTCATTTACTCACTTACTCACTCACTCACTCACTTACTCACTCACTTACTCACTCACTCACTTACTCACTCACTTACTCACTCACTCACTCACTCATTCACTCACTCATTTACTCACTTACTTATTTACACACTCATTTATTTACTTACTCACTCACTGACTCACTCACTCACCCATTCACTCACTCACTCACTCACTTACACACTCACTCACTCATACACTCACTCACTCACTCACTTACACACTCACTCACTCATACACTCACTCAGTCACTCGCACACACACTCACTCACTCGCACTCACTCACTCACACACTTACATACTCTCACTCACTCATTTACTCACTTACACACTCACTCACTCATACACTCACTCGCACACACACTCGCACACTCACTTAATCACTCACTCATTCACTCGCACACTCACTCAATCGCACTCACACACTCACTCTCTCACTCATTTACACACTCACTTACACACTCATTTATTCACTTACACACTCACTCACTTATTCACTCACTTACACACTCACTCACTCACTCACCCATTTACTCACTCACATACTCTCACTCATTTACTCACTTACACACTCACTCACTCATACACTCACTCGCACATACTCACTCACTCACTCACTAATTCACTCGCACACACACTCACTCACATGCACTCTCACACACTTACTCACTCGCTCACTCACTCACACACTTACTCACACTCACTCTCTCACTCGCACACACACTCACTCACTCTCGCACACTCACTTAATCACTCACTCATTCACTCGCACACACTCACTCACTCACACAATTACTCACACACTCACTCTCTCACTCACTCACTCGCACACTCACTTAATCACTCACTCATTCACTCGCACACACTCACTCACTCACACAATTACTCACACACTCACTCTCTCACTCACTCACTCGCACACTCACTTAATCACTCACTCATTCACTCGCACACACTCACTCACTCGCACTCTCACTCACACACTTACTCACACACTCACTCACTCTCTCACTCTCTCACACTCTCTCTCACATGAACTGATCTGATGCGTGTGTGTTTTGTAGTCTGTTAGGTGAGGCATCAGAGCTCGGCAGTACAGTATCAGCCCTACAGCAGCAGCTGTATGAGGCACGCAGATCTTTGTCTGACCTGGAGGAGAGTCGACTGGCCCTGGAGAAAGACATCGCTTGCAAAACTAACTCTCTCCTCATCGACAGAGAGAAGTGTATGACGCACCGCACACGCTACCCTACTGTCACAGTGCTGTCTGGGTACTGACACACACTCATAACATTCCCTCAACAGGAGGTCCGGGTCTGTTAGACTGTTACTTCCAGTGGCCTGCAGTGTGTGTGTGTGTGTGTCTGGGTTTTTTTTATGCAATGATTATATATCCTCTGGTTTTAAAGAAAATGCTTTTAAAGATTTTTTTTCCAAAAGCAATCTTTCTACTTTTAATGATAAATTATTATAGTTATTAAATGTCTTATTGTGTCTCTTTTATTTGTCATTTATATTTGTTCCTACATATTATAAATAAATTAAGAGTGACCAATCAGAAGTTTTTAGGCCTACACGAATTTACATTTAAAGGGATAGTCAGTCCAAAAATGACAAATCTGAGCTTATTTCTTCTGCGGAACACAAAAGGAAAGATTTTGAAGAACGTTTCAATGAAAGTTGAAATGAACCACACAATGAAAGTCAGCGAGGTCAAAATAACATTGGAAACCACTGACTTTTATTAAACTGTGCGAGTGTTTTTTTTTAGCACACTATCCCTTTAATATTATTAATGGAAATCAAACATACATGACATAAGAACACTATTATTATTGTATTATTTTCTTTGTTAAATCAGGATTTGAAAGTCATTCCAATAAAATAATAACAGGACCTTTTTCACATTTCTGGGGTTCTCAGAAGCAGATATTGCCATTGTTGGGAAAACTTCTATAGTGGTGAACAGGAGATGGCAGCAAATATAATTTTTGTATTCCCATTTGCTACAATATCAAAAGAAAAAAAACCCATATCAGCGTTTCTGAGTTTCCAAAAGAGGGAATAAATATTGAGAGATTAATTACAGCAGTCAAAAGAGAGAAAGATGTGAAATTTACCATCACTCCCTCAGCCGTTGTATTAGAACTCCCTCATTTGTGTTTTGTAATTTACTGCCAAGGTAATGTAACACAAAGTATAGAGTTATACATGTATATTAAATATTTTAAAAATGAAAATACAAAAAACTAGATTTGCAATGTTGATAACTGTTGAAACAGGCATTTGTGGACAGACAAATGGTATCAGTATGGTAGGACTAGTTTCAACTTACAGACTGTCAAATATAAACAAAACTGGAACGTACTTTATAATCTGATTATATGGCTCATGGCTCATGCAAAAAGTAAAGTGAGCGCTTATAAAAATTATGTTGTTGTTTATGTCTCAAGTGCATAAGAATGTTAATTCCATTCAGGAAGATTGGAATTTCAACACTGCTTCTTAGATTGACGTTATAGGGTACACCTTCAACATGACCGGTGTCTGAAGCATGTGTGAAAACACGCAAAATGTTATTGGTCAGCGAAAGTCCATGAGATCATTAGCAGAGAGCTTTTGAGTATAAGAGGGCTGAGGGCACCTGTAATGCATGTCATCAGCGTTTTTTGTCTTCAGGAACCGTTTGTTTGTAAAATAGCATGTGGTGAATATATACACTCACCGGCCACTTTATTAGGTACACCTGTCCAACTGCTCGTTAACACTTAATTTCTAAGCAGCCAATCACATGGCGGCAACTCAGTGCATTTAGGCATGTAGACATGGTCAAGACAATCTCCTGCAGTTCAAACCGAGCATCAGTATGGGGAAGAAAGTTGATTTGAGTGACTTTGAACGTGGCATGATTGTTGGTGCCAGAAGGGCTGGTCTGAGTATTTCAGAAACTGCTAATCTACTGGGATTTTCACGCACAACCATCTCTAGGGTTTACAGAGAATGGTCCGAAAAAGAAAAAACATCCAGTGAGCGGCAGTTCTGTGGGCGGAAATGCCTTGTTGATGCCAGAGGTCAGAGGAGAATGGCCAGACTGGTTCGAGCTGATAGAAGGGCAACAGTGACTGAAATAACCACTCGTTACAACCGAGGTATGCAGCAAAGCATTTGTGAAGCCACAACACGCACAACCTTGAGGCGGATGGGCTACAACAGCAGAAGACTCCACCGGGTACCACTCATCTCCACTACAAATAGGAAAAAGAGGCTACAATTTGCAAGAGCTCACCAAAATTGAACAGTTGAAGACTGGAAAAATGTTGCCTGGTCTGATGAGTCTCGATTTCTGTTGAGACATTCAGATGTTAGAGTCAGAATTTGGCGTAAACAGAATGAGAACATGGAACCATCATGCCTTGTTACCACTGTGCAGGCTGGTGGTGGTGGTGTAATGGTGTGGGGGATGTTTTCCTGGCACACTTTAGGCCCCTTAGTGCCAATTGGGCATCGTTTAAATGCCACGGCCTACCTGAGCATTGTTTCTGACCATGTCCATCCCTTTATGGCCACCATGTACCCATCCTCTGATGGCTACTTCCACCATGTCACAAAGCTCTAATCATTTCAAATTGGTTTCTTGAACATGACAATGAGTTCACTGTACTAAAATGGCCTCCACAGTCACCAGATCTCAACCCAATAGAGCATCTTTGGGATGTGGTGGAACGGGAGATTCGCATCATGGATGTGCAGCCGACAAATCTGCGGCAACTGTGTGATGCCATCATGTCAATATGGACCAAACTCCCTGAGGAATGCTTCCAGCACCTTGTTGAATCTATGCCACGAAGAATTGAGGCAGTTCTGAAGGCAAAAGGGGGTCCAACCCGTTACTAGCATGGGGTACCTAATAAAGTGGCCGGTGAGTGTATATATAAAACCAGATTTGGATTTGGTATGGGGGCGTGAAACAGGAAGTCGCTCGCGGCAGACTCGACCCATTAGCGCTCCCCATGAGCCTTTAATTTCTTCCTGAACTCCAAGCAGAGGTAAAGTCGTCGTTGAAGAAATAATATTCAGCCCGCATTTATTCACTCCAACATTCAAATTATGTGAATGTGGAGGGGTTGCATGAGCGAGGATTGCCCTTTTGAAGAGACGCTTGCCAGCTTTCTCTCAAAGGGTGAATCATCCTCTCTGAAGGCTTCAGGCATGTCATCTAAGCATCTTTGCTCTCCTTTGATCCTTAGGGTTGATGCAGGGTGAACTGAGTATTGTAGGGAATTATACATGTATATCCCCTCTACTTAGTTTGCTTTCCTCCCAAAGTACGGTTGGGTCTTTAAGCAGGGGTGTATGTTCTCCTCCTGATGGGTGGGCTTTTTAGGCCTCTCTAGTTGACCCTGGTTGAATATGGAAATAGATGATGCTAATAAGTTGAAGAAGTTCATCCCTCCTTGTTCTCTGTCACTTACAATAGCTAACACTAATAGAGAAAAACTAAGCACTGGCTATAGCAGGTCCTAGATGAGTGTTTTACCTAAAGTGGGATTCGAGCTACCTCCCTCAGTATTCTGAGGTCTTTAAATAGGGTTAAGCTCCCCTGCGGCTCCCTTGGGGTTGAGCCTCTCCTGTGCCTGAGGCTCGCCCTTGGAGGAGCAGAAACATTGAAGGTGGTAGCTTCTGCGGTTTTAGCGCCTTGCATGCTCCCTTTGGTCAGCTGCTCTTTAAGACCTTAGGTTTGAGTAAGTTGTTTACTCCCTCCCCAACTGTGTTGGGTCTTAAAGTAGGGTCATTCGCTCCCCTTTAAAGCTCAAGTTGACCCAT